CGTAGCGCAGAAATCTGCGGAATTTAGATTTTTCCGTATCAGGTGGCAACCCTATTAAAAAAAGCAGCATTATGCTTTTCTAGAGGCCAATCGCATTCATCTGACACCTCATCGTTTGTAATCCAACGAACGGTGCGGATCTTATAGTTTTTTAGACAGGTGGCAACCCTATTAAAATTCTAAGTAAAAAGGTCACTCTCCTGTCGATACAGAGTATATTACAGAAAATTTCGTCAAAATCTGTTCTGTATTTTTCGAGATAACCGCGTACAAATAATCTCGACTTTCCCTTTATACTATGTATAGATGAGCTGAAAAGAATGTTACGCGTACGTGTACGAGTATCTAATTTTTTATTGTTTCCCCTGTTAAAGCTCAATACGCTGTAAAATAGCGATAGAAATTGCATTGAAAATAAACAATAAAAAAAATTTTTTCGCTTATGTTATATTGAGTTCGCGATAAGAAATAAACAGGGATGTGTTTTAAATTAATTTTGTTGTTTTGGACAGTTTTTTTACGTTTAGTTTCTACAGCGTATTGAGCATCGTACAGTTTCCCAAGTAAAACCACTATCAGCTGATTGCCAAAAAATGCCTACAGCTGAGATCACCTGTTTTTTGGCATCTGGTTGTTATCTTTTACAATTTCATCAATTTCTACTATAATTTCCCAGTAGAAAAAATGGTCAGCGGTGACATCGTCACTAATGAGGATTTAGTGACATCGTCGCACTGGCTGTGAATCCTAAACGACATATAGCTGACAATGACAGGCTGGTTTTCAAAACGTATCAATACAATGTTTGGAAACTGTTATACTGCGGTATTCAAACTGTTTGTATATGCAGAGCTGAGCTGTAAAATGATTGAATCAGTAGGACTCACTCGTTTCAAAATTTTGATTGTTTGGCTGTATAAAAAAACCTAATTCCTGAGTGGCTTAAATTATTTTGAAACAAAAACACGTAATGTTTTGTTGAATGGCAGAGTTCCATTCAGTATAGAATGTGAATGTAACAAAAGTATTCGCAATCATCGTGATTGTAAATTTTGGTTGAATGCAAACAGTTTTGATCATTCAGTACTACACTGAAAAAATATGCATTGAAGAAAATATTTATAGGAGGAAAAAGTCGTTTTACTTCTGCTTTTGTACTACTGCTATGGTAAAGCATTACCTAAGACCAGAAGTACGTACCAGCTTTGGATGTTCTGTCAATGCTGTTTAAAACCAACTGCATGTTTTTAAAGCGGTCAATTTTATTTAACGAACTAAATTTTTATTTGTAGGAGGAGTCCAAGCACAACCATTCATTCGTAGGAGATGGCTTAGCCCGCGTGGCCGCTGTGCATTGATACGCGACACTATGTCAATATCGTTTTAAAGTTCATACACCTCATTATTCCATCATTTAAACTTATATATTTTTCTTAGTGTATAAAATAGCAAAGTGTTCATTCATCTGGAAGCTAATTCAGTATTGAATTCTGTTTACTTCAGCATTCTCAGTTTTTCATTCAGGTATTTACTACCTTACTGTGTGAAAACAATTTTTTTTTTAATGATTGTAGATTGAAAAAAATATAAGCCACACTACCAGACCAAAGGAAAATGAATGAAATCCTATTTGTTAATATTTCGTGATTAAATTTTTAAATGATTTCACAGTTTTACAGCTCTGATGCAGAGTTGCGACACATTGCAACCATATACATTTCATATTTTAAATACTCAGTTTTATGAATTTTCCATTGTTAAAACACTACGGGTAACCAATAACAAACGAAGCATCAAATTTGTTTCTGATGCACTAGCGATGCGTTTCGTTAAATTTTCGGATGCGTTTTGGAAAAGTATACATCGTCAACATTTTATAGTTCGGCGTTATTGAACGTTATACTTTGTACGTATGCAAAGCAATTGACGTTTTGGAAGTCAGCCACACTGGTGACAATCTCGTGCAGGTTGACTCCTATCAAAGACTTATAACAGACAATGTCTTGCAGCGGTCACTTATAAAAAGTCCATTGCAAGATACTGTCTTTCGCTTGAATGCCATCAATAATCACTGCATGACAAAGTCATGTAGATGACATCAACGACGAAATTACCATTAAATGAAAGTCATGAACAACTTCCATGTAAACGGAGCCCAAAGTCACTTAAGTGACTAATGCATGACATTCGCTACGGGGTTATTCAAACACAAACACACTGAACCAAAAATACCAATACACTAACCCAAAACACACCTACAACTAGCTAGAAAATACGGTAAGAAGAAGAGTTACGTTACTTATGAAACTGTACGATGGTATTGAGGCAAAAGTTTTACTTTTTTCATTCACAATGCAAATCTAAAATGAAATTATCTTGGGAAAATGACCTGGGTTAGCGTGTTCGGCTTTTTTTTGAGTCATTTTAGCGTTTCTACAGTGTTCTTATTAGATAATAATTCATTCACTTTCCACGGTTTTGTGGTGAAAAATGTGATATTAATTATTGGGGGTTTCCAATCAAAAGAGATCCTGGGTATGAGATATGGGGGAATTATTCCAAGTGAAGTAATGGGAGGGAGGAGAAAAATTTTACACTACCATATTTGAAAGCGAGAAAATCGCTTTATTACATCACCTGTTTATTGCACCATATTCCCTTCAATATTCAAAGTCTTATTTAAGTTTTTTTTTTTCCTTTTATGAATTTATAAATGAATGGCTTAACATATTCGTTCTGGACACGGACAACAATAATCGCCACACGGATAGCAAGGAGAATAACTTGGATAACACGGATAACAACATGGGTAAGTGCATGGATCCGGTTTTCTACGACGATCAATCATACAAAGCAAGGGTGGAGGAACTTCTGTAAGACGCTCACGTCGAAGTCTCCTATAAAGGTGGAAAAAGTAAGATACTGTTAATAATCCAAAGTGATTCGATTTTCGTTCCGTGTCCAATTCTCGAATAGTGGAAGCCAATGCATGCCCAAAAGCTTTCGATCCCAGACAAACGCGCTTCAATTTAACATTAATTTAAGCATTTTTATTTAAAAATTTTGGTCTTAAAATCGTTACTAGCAATTTCGTACGCAGAATTTTGAAAATAATGCCGAACACGTCAACACTTAAAATTTATCGTCTCCAGCAGGTCCGGGTACTATTAAATTATTGCCTGATAAGAAATAGTGGGCCGTATGAATAAAAATAAGCATTTGCTTGTTCTTAAAATTTCAGATCTTTTACTCAATTTATTCAAACAAAATTGAAGTAAAAGGTATGAAATTTTAAGAAAAAGCAATTGCTTAGTTTTTATTCATACGGCCCAGTATCTGCTTCAATTACTATTCGAAAATTGTTTGGAGCTTAAGTTCGTTAAATTTTCTAATACGGCCGTAATAAACATAGTGCGCATAAAGCACTTACGCTTGATATGCGGAGCTTCCAGGAACGTTGGGACCTCCAGGGCCTCCACCGCCACCCTTTCCACCACCGCCAGGTAAAGGCTTTCCTTCGGGCCCTATTCCGCCCCCAGGGCCTCCGCCAGCGCCTCCTGGCCCCCACCTTCCATTTCCACGTCCACCTCTGCCACCACCAGGTACACCGCCTCTACCGCCTCCAGGTCCCCAACCACCTCTGCCGCCGCCAGGACCCCAAACTCCTCTGCCCCCACCAGGACCCCAGCCTCCTCTACCCCGTCCAGGTCCCCAACCACCTCTACCACCACCAGGACCCCAACCACCTCTACCACCACCAGGACCCCAGCCTCCACTGGGAACACCGCCCCACCCACTTCCACCGCTAAAATCGTAGTGCGCACCGGTTGCGCAGTTGTATGATTTCATAAAACGGTTGGGTGGTAGCGGATACTTTGGCTGGACATTCCAGTCATTCTCTACATACTGCGTGCCATGGTTCACAAGATGAGGCTTCTTAAGTCTCTCCGGTTTTACCACGCCCGCAGGTGGTGTCACACCGAAATCGAATTCCACATCTGAGTCTGTAGTGTCGGACAAAACCAATGTGCTATTGCAGCAGGATATTTTACGCTTTCTGCACTCCTTGCTGACTTGATATTCCAATCGCTTTTTATCCAAGAAGCTCCGACAGAAACACTCAACCACTGGCTTGTGACAGGTGCATTTTGCGAAGCCCATGTCTTTGAGGCAACGCTTCAATTTACTCATTTCGACCATTAATGGATTTTTGGTTATTTTAAATTGTATGGGTTTCATATTGAGGTACGGATCGGCACATTCCTTGAGTGCCTCAGGATCCTTAAGCGGTCGCAATGTTATGAAATATTCATCATTCTTTTTGCATATATGTAATGTGGGCCGCTGAACTATTTGCTCCTCCGAATCTTTGCCATCACCTTTGCCTTGGTCGCGGTAGGCGTACTGCGAGACACGTATTGTGTCTGCTGGGTAGTCTTTCAGAAAGAATCTCATGATCTCTTTGATGGGTTTGCGTATAGCGCCCGGCTTCCAACCACGTCGTTTGCCACTTGTATCTAAGTTCCACAGCCATCCCATATTTCGGGGTACATTCTTTTTGCCAAGGTTGAAACATGCATTGTTGTTGCGTTTTTGGGGACGAGCATCCTTGACCGGAGAAAAATTACCACCACCATAAGAATATCTGAAAACGTTAGTATTATGAATCATAATAATTTGTAATCATAATACTTGTAATTCTCATTGCATGCTTACGACTTCTTTTCATTGTTGCTGGTTTTTGAGTTAGCCGTTGCTGCTCTCGGCTGCCTTTTTTTCTTTCGCCTAGGCATTTGTTTGTCATTCTGGTTATCTCTTTTCTGCTTTTCTGAATTTCCCGAAATATCTCCTTGAGGGCGTTTCTTTTGGTTTCCTCCTGACCCTTGTAACTCTTTCTCGCATCTTTCATCTTGTTTGAATGGTTTGTATTGTGCTTTTTTGAGGTCATACAAATCTCTCAGCTCGGAGAATACGCGAGCCAGATAAGGGCGACAGTCCTTGCTGCTTGTCCTACATACGTTGAACATTTCCTCCGATTCGCATTTACCGCAGTCCTTTTTGGGTTCTTCCGGCGGCCGTGGCGGTTGAAAGATATCTTCGCACAACTTCCGTATTCGGCAATGAGCGCACACCTTGCCGTTCTTGCATGTGCATCGACATTCTTTTTTGTCGGTAGAGGAGGGTATCTCCTCGTTTTCAGCTCGGCAGCAGTCGCTTATTTTTTGATCGGTGCCACTCGACTGTTTGTCCAGATACTCTTGAAGTATTTGATCAGCGGTCAGTTTTTCATTGTACGGTTTCTCTTCTACGTACGGTACCGGCTTATAACCACATTTTGGACAGCAGGCAAGTTTGGGTAGCCAAGAAATATTTGTCTTGCAAACCGGGCAGTGCCTGCAAGACGAGATTAATATCAATAACGACTACTTATCATTTCATAGAAGGCTTTACCTTGGTGTGTGCATGACCATTTGATTAGTGTTCGGCGCCACTGTGGGACAAATATTGATGAGCTTTTCGCCGGCGAAAGCACCATCCTCCGTATGTTGGTTGGCAAAGCAAGAACATGGAAATCTGCAATCTAAGTGTAAAAGATTAATGAAGTCTGTTGTGGTTTTGAGCGTAGCCTTCACATGCACAGGTATGCCTTATAGTATAGTTCGCCTAGGCTTCACTTAACTTACGTAAGAAACCGTCAATGATTACTCAACCCGTCAACTTAGTAGTGATTTGTAAATTTTCACAATCAAAAAAGGTAATATATGGATTGTCCGGTTCTGTTTCAAGTTAATCTCGCTAACTTCAAAGTAATTCCATTTATGAAGGGTAAAAACCTGGCTGTAGTCGACAATGAGCGAAAATGGATTGAACGACAAACTAATAATTAAATTTATAGTTCAATTGTTTATTACGTTGGCTGTACGTTTGTGTCTTCTGAATGTAGATCGAAAGCTTGTATGAGAGAACCAATCTGAGATTATTGATAAAACTATAGACCGGTCTGGTGAACAGCCAAGACGCTTACTTCTTAGGTAATTACAGCCTGCAACGATGTATACATTTTTAGTTTATCTTGCAAAATAATTTTGCATCGCGGGTGATTTCCAAAACTAAAGTCGGAGTGGAAAAAACAAAAATTAAATATTTTCTTGTTTCTTTTTATTAAAACAATGTGATTACACACTTGCAAGTTTTAAAGAACAGAGCTCGTAAAGCCATGAAAGAACTATCTCGCTCTGAGGAGTTATACTTTTAAGAGCAATAAATAAACTCCTTACAAGATCGGCTCACTCATGAATTTGCATGTGATATATGTATTTGTCAAATAGTTTATCTGTGTTGATGGCATCATTTTTACCCTGCAGTGAAACCCCAAACTAGTCAGGAAAAATACTAGTT